AAAAAATTTAAAAGAGAGGCGAAAAATACCATAGGGATATTCAAACTCATAAGCCGAAAACAAACTGACATTGCCGTGGCAAAAAACGACAAACGACAAAAAAGACAAACAACAGTACACAAAACACGACATAGAAAACTGAAGACTAAGCAACACAAACGCCACCAAAACCGGGGTGATCTCAGGTGCTCCGGAAGGGTAAGCAGATCCTGCACCACATGTGGCACCCGTTGTTTTGCTTTACGTTGTCGTCGCTTTAAGTCATAGCCTGTTAACAGTCACATATGCAACCCAGTATTTATATTCGTCTTTCGTTATGATTTGTGAAATCATTGTCAGCTATGGACGGTAAGGTGAAAAAGTATTGCACCTGGACCGTTTACAAAATTTTGTTTTCGAAAGTCAGCTTTGACTCAATGAATTTAAGCCTTAAGCTTTACGAGTACTGTTGACTAAATGTTGCCATCCCAACTCCACCACACATGCCGTAAATCGAGGCTAACAAAGATATAACATATTAAAGTATCTTTTCAACCGATAAACTTTTGTTATTTGTTTTTTTATTGCTGATTAAATTTACGAATTTCCACATCTTCTTTTATTTATTTTAAATTAAAAAAAAACAACTTCTTTTTAATATTTGAATAGCGAAATGTCTATAGATAATTAATCAGAAAAAAAATAAGATGTACTGTATATATATATTGCATGTTGTTTGCTCTGTTTACATAAATACGTCAAAAAAAGATATTTGTTTTAATACAATATGGCTGTATACATTCAGGATAAATAATTTCCATTGGGTCCAAAGTTTTTCAAGTTCAAAAACTCTGTTGCATTTTCTTGCCGTATATAATTCTAAACTATAATCGTTTTTCAGTCCATTTTCCAATTCAAGTACTAGTTCATTCGGACGCTCTTCTTCTAGCTTGCATTTGTATGTGTATTTTTGTTGGCAAAACATACAAGAACATTTTTTTAAAAAGGCTTTCTTCTACAAAACCAACACAAATTGTTTATTATTGAATTCAATGTTTACACACAAATTTTTCAGACCAGCACAGAACAAATCTAAAAAAAACTTGATGTCACTTGTTAATCATAAAATAAATGTCTAATAGTTTCATCTTCACATCTACAAAAAGAAAATAACTTTGTGTCTTTGATTTTAATCTTAAATAAAAATGTATTTGTAGGAATAATCCTATATAAAAACTTATATTGGAAATCATACAAATATGTATCTCTGCAACCTTTCGGAAATATACAAAAATACTTTGGCTAGTCTTCAATATTAGTATGCAGCTCATTCTCCCATTTTGAAAAAATTTTACAAGTGGAGGATGTGTATGTTTGACAATATGATTTCTGTATATAAATATAATATTTTTGCTGCTAGTAATTTGCTTCAAATACATATCATGTGGGGTGAAAAAAAATAAATAAGTACCAATGTTTTCCCTAATACAATACTCTGTTTTACCTTCATAGGAATATCTGATAGCAAACTGTAATATTGCATAAAGTTGTTTGTCTGAACATTTTGTTTAATCTGATTAAATGTGAGAAAGTCTTTCCTTTGATAGTCACATGTGCCAGTTTCCAACACTAGCAATTCCCTATCTATGGTTTGTACAATTTTCAAGATACCAAGAGAGAGACATTCCTTGACGTCAGTTTTAACATAGGGTTTAGATGAATGTAAAGCTTGAAAGACGTCCTTCCCAAAAGGATTGCTGAGTTTTTTTTACTAATATCCAATAGTTTGAAATTTTGAAAGATCTTGCACCTCCAAATGTATTCAATATCAGTTTTAGAATATTTTGCTATTCCCACTCAATTTTCCAAAAAATCTCCTCACCCACCAATTTTACGATAAAAGACGAAGAATTGTAAATGAACCATTTTCAATCCTTTCTCCTTTTTATCTGCAATCATCGCATTGATTTTTTTCTGTTTTTCCATCCCACATATCTGTAGTTTTCATTTAATATGGATTGTCATATATTATGTAAAGATGTAAGCATATGAATTAAGTTTGGAAGTGCAAGAGTCTTAATAACCGTAACCTTGCCATGTAGTGTTAGCTTTCAACACATTTTGAAATATCGATGATTTTTTCTCAGAAATTCAAACTGAGCATACAATCCAGATCTAAAGAAAAAATTAATCCTAAAACCTTGAAGTTTGAACTGGTGAGTGGCTCATTCCCATTTATATTCATCCCTTTTATTTTTGGATTCCCTTTTAGCTCTATAGCAAGTAATTACACCATAATAATAAACAAATAGGCAGATAATGTGTCCCCTTGGCGACAGCCTCTTCAAGGTTGAAACATTGGGATATATTACCATTATAAATGACATAGCTCTTAGCATCTGTATAAAGCACTTCAAACTATTTACAAAAAGATGGACCAAAATAAAAACTGATCAAAACCTGCTTTAAAAAATCCCATTCTATTCAATCGAGGTCTTTTTTCAAAAATCTACTAGTAATACATGTAACAATCCTTCTATATCATTTGTTTCTATATAGTGCATTAAATCGTATAGAAGTCTAGTATTTTCTCCTATAAATCTTACTTTCATTAAGCCCTTTTGTGTATCACTAATACATGTAATAACAGTACATTTTTAGCTCTACCAGCAAGAACTGCTGATGCTATTTTCATATCTGTGTTCATTAAGCTGATTGGTCGCCAGTTACCCATGTATCGCCTATCTTTCCCTTCCTTGGGAATACATGTAATAATACTTTGGTGCTGAAAATCTGAGAAATGGCCAAACTCATATCCATATAACAGAGATCTGAAAACAAAAGGACCGATATCTTGATAGAAAGATTTGAAAAACCCCACTGTAGATCCGTCAGATCCCGGAGACTTTCAGCTTTGCATCTATTAGAGAACTTCACTATATTCCTACGAGACAAGTTCACTCACATAGTAGTTTTTGTTCTTCAATGAGTTTTGTGTCATGGTTAAAAAACTGAATCAATATTGAATGACTTCAAGGCATACACTGTCTTATAAAACTGTTCATGTTAGAACAATATTTTAGATTGATCAGAATGTTGGTTTCCTTGTTCACCAATGATTCAGTCATAGTTTTTCTTTAAGAAGGCTTTCTTTTGTAACTTACTTACAAAAGTAGTTGGTGCATCTTTCTCCATTCATATGAGTAATCCAGATGACAACACCTTTAATTCGTGTATCATGCTGAGAGCATCAGTGGTCTCTACATTCTTTTGATAACTTTGAAAGTTATGCCTAAAAATGAGAAAGTTCAGACTTCAGAGGTACTTATAGAAAATATGTGCTGATGGCAAAGTAATACTTTGGTTGTGTGCAAAACTATGAAATACATTAGTTTATTTTAGTAAGAGGTTCATAATTTAGTAGATAATCTCTCAGATTTTAATGAACATTTGCATACACCTGGAACAGGCGGAACTGCAATGAAAAAATAACATAGTTTCACTCTTATAAATAAGCTCATCATAGATACCAGGCTTAAACATTATAAATTGCCCTTTTTTAATGGTGCATTTATCATGAAATATAGGTTCCTTCATAAAATAAGTTACACAGAGAAGAAATATTCTTTAATTTTATTACTTCTGAAACAAATATTACAGTATTTGTTCCTGACGGAAAAAAGATTATAGAATATTTGTTCCAACAGGAACAGATATTATAGCATTGTTTTTAACAAAGTTTCCAGTGGAACTTCTGTAAAGTGGAACAAATATACGTTTACACAAAGTATTATTGTTGTCGAAATCTCTATATGGTCTTGCAAAATTTACAGGGAGTCAAAACGCTGAATGAATTCTCTGTACAGTGCAACCAAGACGTTACGCTTTTAATAACCTTTGCGCACTTCAGATGAGCTTATCTTATAAACAGTTTCAATATTCCAGATATAAAAAAACAACATTTTCAAACGAAATGTCAATGATATATTTGTACGGATGTATGTAGGAGTTGTGTACATTGTGTAATAAAGCATTTTAGTCTTGTCCTCCTTTGTTCTTCGTCTAGTTGACATATAGAAGGAAAAGACTGCAACATGACTTTGACACAAAATATTAGCATTTGTTTACCACTTAATTTTAAATGGTTATTTTAAGTAATATGGTTAGTTTTGATGGGAAACATGAATTAATTATGACCACGCTTCCTCAGACTAAAAGTATAAAATGAAAGAGAGTCCATCTTGAAATCACAGGTCTACAGACGTTTATAGAACCGTAGGGTAAGTAACTCTTTAAAATACAAAATTTCAAGATACCAAATATTAAAAAGTTTTATTTACCTTCAGAAAACTAAAATACATATGGAATGAATATAAGAAGGTGCACTGAAAGGACAGAGGGGAGCTGTGTCCCTCTATTTTGGGCTATAGTTATAGGACATTGCATCTCATCCTTAATTTTGACTGGGCCGGTGGCGAGATTTTTCTCACAATAGTTACCCATTTTAAAACCATTACGTACTTCGAGACATATGCTTTTAATATGTCTTTGCATTTGTCTGAAATTAGAAGAATACAAGATATATTTTTATAAAATAAATAAAATTACTATGAGCTAATAATTAGATAGATTCTAAGAAGAAGAAATATTTAATATTTTGTTGTAATCGTCATTCAATTCATCTAAATTCAAATTTTATCTTGTTTAATGACCATGATTCACTGACTACTTAATTGAACGTTCAACTCCAGTCCATCATCTTAGTTATAAAGTTACTTTCTTCAGAACGAGATTCGGGTTATGTTTATATTTTTACAACATTTGTAATATGGTAAATATATGTTTCACAACATATACCTTTAAATGAGCTGTTTTTTTTTTTTATTTTGTTATTTTTTTTAATTTTCTTGAGGGGTAATTTAAGTCTCTGTATCATATGTTCGGTGCAATTTAAGCTCGTTTCACCGATGCATGATATTTAATATATTTGTAGGATGAAATACATCTTTGTCCTCGTGTGTATGTTCTGTGCTGCTGCTGCCAAAAACTATGGAGGAGGCGGCGGAGGTATGTTTTAACAGCTGACATAATGTATTGTATTCCAGGCAAAAATATGAATAATCTTAGACGTTAAATCTCAACCCTTTCTCGTTCCTATCAGTCAATTGACCATCAATGGGTCGAATTGTAAAACAACTAGTTTGCGTAAGATCTGGTAAATTTGACGTATAGATGTGGTTATTGGTGCAAATTAATACTTTGAATACCAGCATGGGGATTCAATGTGCATCAAGCTTCTATCGGTTACTATTTGTTGATGGGTTTGCCTATGACTGACACGGTTTTTTTTCTTCGGCGAAACCCTTTTTTTCATTTTTGATAGAGTATTTTCATAGAATATTGTAATGTGTACTAAAGATTTTAAGCACAAATATAACTATTTTTATTCACTGTCTAGAGTTTCGCGATAATTTGATCATAATCTTTGATTTGATATAAACTGTATATTTTGGAAAAAAAATTATCCATAGCGCACAACCGTTATCAAAAACTAAAAATGCACTCAAAATCCTCATATATTTCTTCCAGAATTTGTTGGAAAAAGAGTTAATAAAACGAAATGTGCTGAAAATTGTAAACCAAATTGAAATAACGTTAACAATACCGTGTTTCTTAAGTATGCTGAAAACACTTTCATTTAAATGTATGACCTTATATGTTTCAACGAAAATTTATGCAGAATACAGTATTATTGATCTCCTATATTTGCTTTAAATGGACAAAATTGCAACCAAAACATATAATCTTAAGACTGCAAAATGAAGACGAAGGTAGATAATGTTATTTTTTTATTCTCATTTCTTGTTGTTCTAAAGCAAAAGGACTTAGATAAATTAAAGGTGCAAATTAATACTTTGAATACCAGCATTGGGATTCAATGTGCATCAAGCTTCTATCGGTTACTATTTGTTGATGGGTTTGCCTATGACTGACACGGTTTTTTTTACCGTCAATGGGTCGAGTTTTAAAACAGCTAGTTTGCGTAAAATCTAGTAAAAAAGTATAACAAAAATGCCGAACTCCAATGTAAATTCAAAAAGGGGAAGTCCATAAAAATCTTACAAAATCAAACGTTATTAATCAACGGAACGGAAAAACAACTGTCATATTCTTGACTTGATACAGGTATTTTTGAAAAAAATGGTGGATTAAACCTATTTTTATAGCTAGGTAAACTTCCCACTTTTATGACAATTGTTTATATTTCTGTTAGTGACAAAGACAAAACGTGAACTTTTAGGGATTCTCTAGTTTGTTTGTTGGTTCAATTTAGCTCCTTTTTTGTTTGTTTTTATATAAGCCTAAAAAGTGAACAAAACATTACCAATATCAAAAAAGGAAACAGTAAATACAAGTATCAATAGATATAACAGATATCCTATATCAGTATGACAATGATGATGTAAAATGAATCTAATGAAACTAGAGAATCCCTAAAATAAAGTTAACAATTTTTTCTTTGTCACTAAATCTATAGTTTTTATTTTAAATACAGGCCTGATATTCTAATTTGTTGATCAGGTTGTTCTTTTTGACTGAATATTTCCTTAGGAATAGTCTGGGGAGGAAGATCCATTGGAGGAATAGCAGGAGCAGGTGGCGGACCTGGTGGAATTGGAGGCGGATGGATAGGAGGTGGCCGACGAAGTGGTGGAGCAATAATAGGCGGAGGTGGTTGGCCGGGTAGTGGAGGCAACGGTGGCTGGCCGAGTGGAGGGGGTGGTATAGGTGGTGGTCCAAGCGGAGGTGGTGTCGGTGGATGGCCAAGTGGAGGTGGTGGTGGTGGATGGCCAAGTGGTGGAGGTGGTGGTGGATGGCCAAGCGGAGGCGGTGGATCACTCGGACCTAGTGTAGGAGGAGGTGGATGGCCAAGTGGCGGAGGTGGTATTATTGGAGGTGGAGGTGCCATCGGTGGAGGTGCAATCGGCGGGGGTGGATGGCCAAGTGGTGGTGGCGGTGGTATTATTGGAGGTGGAGGCATCATCGGCGGAGGTGGCATAATTGGAGGAGGAGGTGGAAGAAAAGGTGAGTTTGGTGCATTGCTCTCATATCAATGAGAATAGAATAGAATACAATGTATTCCAAATTAATGGGCCCACAAGGGACAACATAAAATTATCAATGAAACATTAAACAAACAAACAAACAAAAACAATTAAGAGGGAATAATTGCATGATTTATATGAAAACAATACACAAATTTATATTAATAATAATCAATTACGTTGGACATTCTTTAAAATAGTAATATAACAACAAGTAGATGTGGTATTATTGCCAATGAGACGACTGTCCACAAGATACCAAATGCAGTGGAATTCAGTTACTATAGGTTACTACCCGGCCTTTAGCAATGAGCAAAACGAATACTATTCAGTAAGATATAAAACGCCCAGACATGACACAATGTTAAACAATTCAAACGAAAAAAAACAAAGGCCTGATTTAAATTTATTTTTTTCAATCCTAAATTCTGTAATTGGACCTTTTTTATACCGTTTCAAAGAACTCAGCTGATGTCAGAAGGCATCTTATAATTCTTCTTCAAACATATAAATCATATGAGTAAAACTAATGCTTTTTTTCATTCTTTCAGGTGGCGGTTACTAATTGTGATGAAAATGTGACCCAGTGAGGAATCCCTAACGATCTGTACAACTTTTATGAAATCTCGTTATGTTTTTATCAGTGAAATATATTCTTTTGCATTTATTGTGTATTGAATTTTCATTTACCTACAACGTACATTTGAGTACGAGTACCTGAAATCACATTTCAGTGATGATACTATTTTCGATTGCGTCACCAACGGCGAAAGTAGGGCTAGTAACCGCTCCACTCCTTTCGTCTGTCCACTCGAAAAACCTCGGGTACTGGGGTAGGAACTTTCGTCAATTCTTTCTTGGCTTCTATGAAATGGAATGATTTTATATGTGGTCTGCAGCTTGATCTTGTCAAGTTGTAGATAGTAAGCAAATGTTACAACCCCTTGCAACCTTTTCCTGTTCGCCGATAGTAAGTCTGTTTTAATCTATAATTTCAATTCAATGGTAGCTACTTACATGTACCATGAAAAATTGACAGTTATGGCAAAAATATTGGTTTATGTTCTTGTTACCTTCTTTGCTAGAGCGTTCTTGGTGCCTCCATATCAACTATCTTTGTTTTCGGTGGATTACCATATATCATCTATGTATCTGCGTTGATTTTCTACCACAGGAATAATGCAAAATGGTAAGCGGAATATATGCACAAAGTTTGGGTAATACAGAAAACACATTCAACAATAAAAAATAAAAGAGGGAAATTGGCCCGATTCATCGACATAAAACAAAATATGTATTGTGAACATAAAATAGAATAAAAAGATGATGTGTGACTGTTTAACGTCAAGCAACAAATTAAATGCAATTTCAGGACGTGAACATGATTATGTGATATGAATAGGAACCCTTATGGTACTACACCGTTATGATGAGCTGGATTTTTCGCATGCTAGTTTCACAGAAAGAAACGTCACCTTACATGAACACTGACTCCGAGCCGACCAGTCTTTGCTCTTACTCCTAAATGCTGCGTACTTGACGGATAAGCAGCAAATACCGATTTTTAAGTTTTTGGTTTGGCCCGGTCGGGAATCAAACCAATGACTGCCATTATCGGGGTGAGCATGCTACGACGACAACACCGAGGCGGTGTGAAAAAAAAACCCCGAGACTTTGTTATGGCAGAACAGCAGCAAATAGCTTGGACAATTTTTCCATGGTTCTGTCATAATCATTTCCCTCCTTTTTTTATGCTTTTAAAGATTACGATTTAGACGCTTTAATCGAACTCATCATAGATACCAGGATCAAACTTTTGTAGGCCAGACGCGCGTTTTGTGTACAAAAAACTCATCAGTAAACTTCGAATCAAAAAATTAAAAAGGCCAACTAAGGTACGAAGTTTAAGAATAAAGGCAACAGTAGGATACCGCTGTTCCATAGTCATAAATCGATTGAGAGAAAACAAATCCGGGTTACAAACTAAAACCAAGGGAAACACATCAACTATAAGAGGAAAACAAAGGAACAACAGAAACACTGAAGTGCAACAAAACAAACGCCAACATACATAGAAAACGGACTATTTGATAACAACTGCCATATTCCTGACTTGGTACAGGACATTTTAAGAAAAAATGGTGGGTTGAACCTGGTTTTATGGCTAGCCAAACCTCCCGCTTATATGGCAATGTTAAAAAATATCGCTAAAATGACAGAAATACAGCACAAACACACACAAGAATACTCATCATTGAGAAACGCACAAATAAATAATATGATAGTCGATACAACAAGTAAACCGCAGAATAACAACGAACATCTTCCATTAACGACAGACAGCACAGGAAATCACAAACAGTGACGTAATTTTGTAACGAATATATAATATTGAAATTCACAATACTAGTCCAAACAATTATCATGACAATGACAGTATTGAAAGGCTATTTTATAATTATTTGGACTACAACTCAAAATTCCGAAAAGTTTTGTCAAATACAGCTGAGGTAATCTATTCCTGCGGTAGGAAATCCTTAGTATTTTGCAAAATCTCAAAGCTGTTTTTCATTTGCTACAGCGAATTCTGGGTTCCATGAGAAATTACATTTCACTTTTTATAACAAATTTGGACAAGCTGGTCGCGGTATGAAATTCACTCTGTAATACTACTATGACAAATCTTTTGCAAGAAATTAAAGTTAAGACTTTATTTCCCCTGAAACTCCTTTTCAAATCTCTTTTCAGAACAATACTTTAGGCAAAGGTTTCTTATATTTCCATGTATTGGAATCACCCATGTGCCAACCCAGTCTTCTTATTTGTAATCTAATTTTACATAGTGTTAGTGTTCTGTCGCTCAGACACATGTAAACAGTAAACCACAGCGTTTTCATATGAAGGGATATGTCAAGTTTACATTAATGCTCATTTTACCGATCTGATTTGTGAAATAATTGACAGCAGTGGACTCCAATGTGAAAAGTTACGTGTTGAACCTGGACCTTTTACAAATTTTTGTTTCAAACAGTCAGATTTGGCTCTATAGATTTAAGCCTTATGAGTACTTTAGACTCAATGTAGTCATCCCCACTTCACCACACATGCCCCAAATCAAAGTGAACAGAGTTATAACCATATATAAGTATCTTTTAAACCGATAGATACATTGTATAGACAGCTGTCTATTGTAGAAGAGTGTCTACTGCACTCTAGGTGTGTTGGGACAATTTTGCATTTGGATTGCTGTCTCATTTTACGCATAGCCACATCTCCTTTTAGTATTTTTTTTTGTTATAACGATGCAGATCACAGAAACGTGTTTGCTCTGACTACTAATATGTATTTCTCATTTTTGGCATTTCTGGATAGAAACTTGGTTCAGAGCTCTGTTAACTGAACTTGTCTTTTCACTTAAAAGAGGGTATCGAATCTTAAAATCAGGTCAAATGGATTTATACAGGAACCCCACAGGCACTTGTCTCTGTATGTAAAATATATACATTGAAGTTATATGATCCTTCAAATTTAACTTCACGAGAAGATGAATATTTTTGATATACTTAAATGGCTTTGCTTTATTACAAAACACGTGTAGGTAGACTTTCTGTTAAAAGGATTTATTTTTACTCAAATTGCTATTGAATTATTGCCTTTCGGCAATCGCACAGCGGAAGTGCGATTGGATAAAACGGTGATCGAAGAAAGACAGTATTAACCGATTCTGAACTAATAAAAAATAATACACTAAATCATTAACAACTATTATTACAAAGTTAAATAAACAAATGGGAACGCATGGAAAATTAAAAAGAACCACCAAATAACATTGCTCTATCGGCTCACTTATTATCACCCCAGGACTAGTACTTGGCACAACTTTTCGGAATTTTCGGTTTTTAACGCTCTTCAACTTCGTATAAAATTTGGCCCTCCAATTTTTTTGGTTTGATTACCACTAATATTGACACGAGTCTTATGTAGTAGACAAAACGATTGTCTGTGTATCAATTTATAAGCCTGCTTTTCTTGATGAGTTTTTAAAATCACTGGGTCGATGCGACTGCTCGTTGACGTTTCGTCCCTGAGGATGTCACCAGCCCAATAATCTGCACTTTGTGTTAACATGAAATATCATTGATATGTTATTAACTTCTTATAAAATGATGAAATATTCGACACACTAAGGTTTTACTACCCGAAGGAATAGATTGACTTCGCTATATTGAACACAATTTTGGGGAATGTTTTGGTTTTGAATGCTCTTCAACTTAGCATTTAATTCGGCCTTCCAACTGTTTTAATTTGAGTGCCACTGAGTAGTCCTATTCGACGAAACGTGCGAGACAAATAGTTTTCCCATAAATTATAAAAATAAATCTATACAAATTTAATGTAAATTTCCAAGATCTCATTTAGTATTTATCTATAATTATCACAAGTTAGTTGCCCAATACGAGGTTTATATGTGTTTATTCACGAGATACATGATTTGTGGTCGTAGATCTAATAATACCAAAATATAGTCGTCTGCTATGTTAAAGTCATATAAATCTAAAAAATCAAATCTAAAAAAAAATTGAATATGTTTTATATAGTACTTGAAGTTTTACTATAAAACAAGTATACGTGGAATTTCATGTATAAAAAAAATCCTTTATCTTATCAAAATCTTCAGAAATGCACATTATTGAATTATTGTCTTCCCGTACGCGATGAAGGAATGTTACACAGTAAATAATGTGCACTGTAAGGTAACTAGTAATTATTGAATCTTCAAGAATAAATTAAATACACCAAATCATTTAACAACTATTATTGAAAAGTTAACAAATGGGAACGCATGGAAAAAAAAACAAAAAAAAACATATATATCGCTCTATCAATTCATTTATTTTTCACGTGCTCCATGATTCTGTTTTGATTGTTAATCAATGTCACAACCTGGTAAACTTCTGCAACAAACTCGAAAATTAGTTAGCGTTCGATCAGCAATCACTGAATAAAATATTATTTGTCGATAATAAGTTACAGATTCGTAATAAATGTAAAAAACGTGCACAGAGGACGTAGTTTAGTATATATGCATGCATTGGTTCAATAATTTCTGTAACATTATAATTACAAGAAGCTCGTTTCATATGACATAAAGGAGAATGTCCTTTTATGCCCTTTGATTTCGAAACTGTCGTATATCAGTATTTATAGGTTTCAATTTTTTAGAAAAACAAAGGATATTGGGTATCCATCCATGACACAAAATCAGTACATGCACAGAAAAAAAAACACACACACAAAATCAAGGAAACAGCGCTTTGTCTTACAGATTGGCATTAGGGCTTCACAATTCTTACATTTATATTATGCAAAAACTTTTAAAATAGCTTTATTTTTATATCTTGTCATTGATATTTAAAGTCATATGAAACAAGTTTACTATTTTTGCAATTTCAGGGGCCACATAATGGCTCATATCATACCTCTTCTTTTACCTAATGAGTCCTATTCTCTATCATGACATTTTAACCGAGTTTGATTTCACATGACAGTTGATGCAGACATAGC